GTTACTTCCATTTTAACGAAAATAAACAACTGAAATGTTCCCAATTCTGAACAGTATTATATGAATGAGATCTAATTTAACACTTCAGTGTAAAAAGTATCACATTAGACTGGCATTTTTAACAGCAAAACAAGGTCATAAAATACGCACCAACTTATGGACTGACCTAATAATTAAATTGACATATTTAGCAACATAAAAATTCTGCTTTTCATATTTTATAAAATTGGCAGAAACTTTCCAGATAACCCAATATTATAATCTGATTTCTTAATCTAAGATGTTATATGATTTGCACCTACTATTAACAATTTTATATTTATGGTAATTAGCTTTTATTACCCATATTCTAGAAACAGATTATAGCAATAAAATATATGAATTAATCATAATTTAGTATACTTAATTACTATAGTTGTATTTTCAGTTTATAATCAGTTAAAATGGATATAAAACCAGACTGTTCAACGGAAGAAAAATGTGAAAAACAACCTGAATTGGATGCAATAGATTTAACAGAGAGATTATATAGTTATGGAAAAAGAAATTACACTCAGCCCAAAACAAAACCAAAGTATATTCCAAAAGAAAGACTTCAAAAACCTAAGAAACAGCAAGAAACTAGAGAGCCAATTGTGAGTATTAATAATAATATTATTTATAATTAAAAATAGTTCTATTCTTAAAAGAAGGGTATAAGAATTACACATTAATTTAAACAAGTAAGTCAGATTTTAAATTGAAGACTTGAGTGGGTGATATTGTTACGTTACAAAATCAAAGTTTTGGGTGAATTGATGTTTGAGTTTTATTATCTAATTTTCGGTGTAAATGTATCCACAAAATAGTATATTGCAGAGGATATTACAATGTTAATTAATATTAGGTTTTTAATGGTGGTATGTGAGAGATAGATAGATACCTTACACCTTCATCCACTCATGTCTTCAATTAATATTGTAATCTTCTGTCCATAATCTGCAGGGGCAAGCTTTTATTGACAAAAGTTATCATCATATAAACTGGACATTGTTAGCATTGTTATATATTTGTTTTCTTGGTACATCAGCAATGAAATATTGCAATTAATAAGGATATTTAAGGATTAGTAGGAAATAAACTAAACATTTCATTTTAAAGCAGTACAGTGAATGTTTAAAATCAAGAATTATACAGGGTGTGTACAAATTATTGTATTGATACAACTTTGTAAGATTATATTTTCAGTAATATTAAACAGAAATACATGACAGTACCACCATTTGAAAGAGGGATATTTGCAGTTTTTGTACTAGCTTTAAATGCAATCTATGGCAAAACAGATGTCCAGATGTATCTCATTCTCACCAAATCTTCTCTAGCATATCTTGGGTGATGTTCCTGACGGTGGTTTGAATGCACTGTTTGGCCACACATGGGGCATATATAGAATGCAATTAAGATCAGTACAAAATTGCAAATACAGTATCTCTCTTTCAAATGGTGGTAATACCATATATTTCTGTTCAATATGAAAATATAATCTGTGCATACTCTGTATAATACAGTCAGTTCCCACTCTATGATTTCTTGACTTAAAATGCCTGAAACTAGTACAAATATCCCCCATATAACATAGAATTAGGTTCCTGACAAGTGCTGTGTTACGTGAATCCATGTTGTATGGTGCTCAGAATAAGTAGAAAAAGCCAGGTTGTATTCCAAAAGCTTGTGAGAGTTACTATGTGGACACAAAACCATGTTATATAAATACTGTGTTATATGGAGATAGAATATGTTTATATTATATCTCCATATAATATGTTTATATGTTTATTAGAAAAAATTTATTTTTGAGTTCAATTAAAAAAAATTGTTTTTAATAAACAGATGAGTTGCCACTCACTGACAGCACTAACTAAATTATAAAATCTTTTATATAAATAAATTATTATAATGGCATTTTATGATAATATTTTTAATCATTTTAATTATTATGAAAATTAATACCATTGTTTTTTGTTTAAAGTTTGGATTAACATATGTAAAAGAAACAATTACTGAAGATAAAAAAGAAGTTAAAGAAGAAAAAATAAAATCATTAAAAGTAAATGACTTTTTAGATATATGTTTTATGTTGTTAATATTTGTTACATTTATTATATAGTTGAGTCCACTTAACACTAAATGCAAACTGGTTGGGTGCAATGTCAAACTAAATTTGTATGATCATTGTAGTTTCAAGTATGATCATTGTTATTTATCATAATAGAAAAAAAAAGTTGAGAGTAACTTATTTGGAGTAAAGACTCCTAACAATAAGTTGTGGGCAAGGTATTTTTTAAAGCTATCATACTGTAGTAGTAGCTATGTTTAAACATTATTTCAAACTGTGTATTAAAAAGTAAATTACTGTTTTAACAGTTCTAATGTGTTAAAAAAACCAAAGATGATCTTTCTTAAAATGAAAATTGTTCAAAATATTATATTACACACAGTATATATCTTGCATGAGAAGATAACTTAAATACCAGGAAATAATTATTTCAAAAGTTTCTATACCCCATTGATATCGTATTGCATGCTAAAGGTAGTAATGGTCATATGAGGATGAAAACAAGAAAAAGAAAGTTAAGTAAAGCCAAGGATTAAGTAAATATACACCTGATCTGAATGTCCTACTGCTCACAATATTAAATATTAAACATATGCTATGACATGTATTGAAAAAGTTAAGTTGGGAAGAAAATTAGAAGTTGCATTAAGGTAGGTCTATATGGTGACATTTGGGTAAACATGTATGCCCTGGAGTAGCGTATCTGCTTTTTATATGTGCTACTATTTTTTTTAAGTTTAGACTAGTGTTTTACATTAGCTTTTCAAGTGTTGCTAGATCGTGTCTAGGCTATCCATATGTAATGTCACAGCAGTGACTTAATCTAGATTATATTTAGTCTGTGTAAATCAACATGGATTAATGTGTACTAGCAGCCATGATATCTGCTTCTGTAGTTTTTGTTTTACTCTTTCTGCTGTTTTTATTTATCTTTTTTCACTAAAACATTTGTTTATCAAGCCCATCATAGGTTTGATCAAGCTTACAGTGGGGTGGTTGAATGATGAAAGATGGGATTTGACATACCTGATATAGTCTGCCCAATAAAAATTCCTAGGTTTTTCAACTGCCTGGATTCAATCTTAGCTTGTGGTGGATATAAGGGGAGGGTTACAGGAGCTAAAGCCCTCTGCATTGACAAAAAAAAATAAAATTTATAAGCCTATTTACTAAGCCTAATTTTTTTTTAGTAACCTCAATCATACAGGGATACATTAAAATTTCTTCGTTTGAAGTTCAAAATATTTTAAAAATATTACGATGGAAAATATAGTTTATTACGTCATCTGCAATATAATTGTGTACATATTAATAAAAGGTGCTTATTAATGAAATATTTTTAACTTTTGAGTTAGCCACCCCCTTGAATACTTTTGGATTCACCACTGATCCTGGATCCTTCCATAGTGATAGGCTAACATCTTAATCGCCTCAGTTAACCAGTCAGCCCAACTTTGACATTACAACACTACAGAGTATTTTGTATAGGTTGAAAATTGGTTAGAGCACACAGGACACCAGACTGTGATCTGTTCACACGCAGTTTACTTGACACACTTTTTTCAGGATATCACATAGTCTAGAGACTTAAGTCTATGCATTATCCAAATGATGACAATTCACCATTGTTGTGTCTGTAAAATAAACTATTACTTGTTAACATATACATTATACATATAACATATATAATTAACTTTATTATAATACAAACGTAACTTTGTGCCTCCAGATCTAAGTGTTACAACAGCTAACGCACAACTGACTGGAGACAACAGAACATGACAAAGGTCAGAGGTGCAGGGTTGCCTAACTAGGTAAAGGAGCAATTTGGTGTGGGTTATCCCCTGGAGGTTTACATACAGTACATAACAACTATATACATTAGATCAGTGTTTCTCAACTTTTATTGGTTTCTTTTGAGCTTAATATTTGTGTGTGGCTCCCATAACAGTAGGTTAGTGTTGCTAGAATGTGACAACTAAAATTAGTGGGTGTAGTCGTAAATTTTTGGTAGATTTTGCATAAATTCAATAGATTTGAATTGTTTGAAATGTAAACCCTTAAATATCTTGATACAGGAAAAAACAGACTTATGCCACTTTCATAATAAACTGTCCATATGTAAGTTATCAAATGTATAATTTTGCATTGTAAATGAAGTTGTTAATGTTAAATCATATATCTTTCAACCTTCAAATTGAAAATGTATGTATAGTACATATCATATTACTATATATAATTGTTATTTTTTAAAAAATACTTAAGTTTAGCTCCACACTTGATTTTACACCAATTTTGGAGGCAAATGAATTGCTAAATTAAAGTTTTATGGTATATGAAATTTATCTAAGTGCAATAAGTTTATATTTTAATAGTAAATATCCTTTGAAAAAAAAAAAAAATGAAAATGACATGCATTCAAATCCATCCGACGAACAAATAGTTAATACAAATACGTCACACTAACCTTGTATAACTTGCAGTTAATTTTAGAAACATAACACTAGAAGATAGAAACATTTGAAACTGGAATGTTTAAAATCGGAAGCTAAATTGAACTCAGATAGCACCAGAAAATTTTTATAGCACACCTGAAGACAGTCCTAGGGTGGATTGAAAACATTAGTGTTATGTTTCTAAAATTAACTGCAAAGCTTACAAGGTTATTGCAACATATAAATGACATGCATTGTGTACAAGTGCAAGATTTGACATGTCTTTGTTTACAAAAAACAAATGTATATATATTGTCTTATAACAAATAAGGAAATTTTTAACCATAAATGTTTTATCAAATTTACTTTTGTATTTTATTTAAACATAATATTTTATATAATAATTTACATATGTTTCTCTAATAAATAATATTTTATTCTGACTGGCAAGTGTGGGCATCCACACACAATTTTCCAAGGAGAGCAAAGCTTGCAGACAAATAATTACATTAAAAATTTTTTTTCAATTATTTAATTTTTGGGGAGTTTTTTGTAAGTAGATTATAGAATACAGTACTGCATCAATACAAAAAGACAGAAACATCCCAAGAACAAAGGTGTAAAATTTTACATATCAAAATCACTTTTATAATTATATCAGGTCAGTCCATAAGTTCGTGCGCATTTTTATCTACAAAAAAAGCAACAAAAAATTTAAATTAAATTTTATTTCAATCTATAATGTATTCACCATTATTTGTACAATTTCTTGCCATCTTGATGATAGCTTTTTAATCCCGTCTTTGTAAAATGATTTTGGTTTTGAATCAAAATATTCAGAAATAGCCTTTTTTACATTGTTCTCATCCTCAAAAGTTTTTCCTTTTAAAAAATTCTGCAAACTCCGAAAAAGATGATAATCACTGGGAGCAATATCTGGCAAATATGGTGGATGAGGTAAAATTTCCCAGTTGAAGCTTTTGAGTTGAGCAGTTGACGTTGTTGTCAGTTAGCTATTGACAGTTCATGTGGTATCCATTTTCCTAGCTTTGAAACTTTTCCGATTTGTTGTAGATGTCTATGAAC